AGCAGGACTGGTGGTGGCGAGTGGAATCAGTGGTGTATACACACACAACTGTGGGGGTCAGCTATAGACGCCTATGTAGTGGCAGGGGCCAGTCGTAGACACACACCTAGTCTTGGGTGCCAGGGCAGGCAGGAAGGGCCAGGGCCCACTGTGAGCACCCTGGCAGCTGCAAGGGTCCCTGGATGTCTGCATGTTCTCCCATGGCCGCACAGTCTTCCCTGGGTGTGTATACGGCAAGGGAGTTGACTCCAGTGACAGGAATCAAGCTGGCAGTGGACAAGTGCGCAGCTGGAGGAGCTAGCCCCAAGCACACACACAGTGATAGAGCACCTAGGCTGCTGCCGTGTACTCACGCAAAGGCCTGGACCGGCTGCTGGTGAGGTCCCTGGGCTCTAGCAGGGGCCAGCGTGGGGCAGGCTGGGGAGAAAATTGGAAGGGACTCAGTGGCTGATGTCAGTGAATGCAAATGCTGGTGGAGTCCATGGTGGTTGTGCTGTCTCTTGGTTTCTTCAGTGGTGAAAGCTGCTGGAATATCTGTGGAGCAGATGGCTAGGCACCCCAGTCGCTCCTGCTATGTGCCTGCTTCTGGGAGCCCCTGCTTTTTTTCCTTGTTCCTAGCCAAATCTCTCAGTATCTCAGCTTTGCCAGTCTCTGAGTAACATGAAACTAAAGTGGGGACCTTCATGAGGTGACCCAAAAGGCTGGGGATGCTGGTCACTCACCCCACTCCCCCTTTCTAGCTAGAAGCTCCCTCTTGGTGCTGAGCACTGCTGGCTTTGGGGATGGGAAGATGCAGAAAGAACGAAGCTGTCTTCCCCTTTCTGTGGGGTTATTCTCAGGTTTGATGTTCAACTGCATCGCTGAAGTTTAAGCAGACTCCAGAGCTGTTTATGTTCATGGATAGATGTCTACATGTTGATTTCTGTGGAAGAATGGTGACTAGGGATCCTGCACTGCATTTTGGTGGCATCGCCTCCAGTCCTGCAACTCAGGAACAGTCAGATAGAAGAGATACATAGAGCAAGGTATGTGGGAATGGGCATAAAGCTCAGTGCCCTCACCAGGCACACCACTCTCCTAGTACCTCTACATGTTTACCAACTTGGAATCTACTATTTGACCATCATTCCAAACTATGGTCTGGGAGAAGTTAAATCCTAGGCTGACTACTCAATGCCAACAGACACCAGCTCCAGTGGGACCCACTGCAGATGACATAGGAACGGCACACCCTATCAGTATTTTAATCCTATGATCATAGAAGTGCCTTACTGAACTACACAGTGGCAGGAAAACAAAGCACAGGATATCTCTGCAGATAGATGCTCAGGAAAGTTACCTGCCACATCATTATATCTCTAGCTACCTATCTCTAGTTAAATTTTGCTTTCCACCTTTAAGAGCTGGGCATAATACAGATCACAAGTCCACATACTACTAGTTTAACAGAAAGCAAGTTATTTTCTCTAAACATTCATTTTTTCATGTGAAATTAGAATGGTAATTATACTTACTAAGAGCGTGTTATGTGCTAGGCACTGTTCTTTGTGCTTTCCATTAATTAATTCATTTAATTCTCATTATAACTCCATGAGAAAGGCACTATTTTTATTCCCATTTTAAATAGGGAGAAAATGAGATACAGAGAGGTTAAGATACTTGCCCAAGGCCATATAGCTAGTAAGTGGTAGAGCCAGGAGGGCAGTGGTTGCATTTAAACTGAATAGTGAATAGATAATGCTTGCTGCAGGGTCTGGCACACAACCAGTACATGATAATTTTTATTACAGTAAAAACCTGGGTGCGTATTTTTTGGGTTAATCTTAGACAAAGCTTGATTTTCTTACACAGTGGCAGAAAAGTCCCAGACACTTGTTCTCTCAATTTAACATCAACTATGACCAAGTTCCTCCTAAGACTTTAGTAAGTTATCCACGGTTTTATTGTGGTTCCTCCAAGTCTCGTCTCAAAGTGAAGTGAAGTCGCTCAGTCGTGTCCAACTCTTTGTGACCCTATGGACTGTAGCCCACCAGGCTCCTCCGTCCATGGGATTCTCCAGGCATCTCCCTGATCCAGGGATCAAACCCAGGTCTCCCGCATAGCAGGCAGATGCTTTAACCTCTGAGCCACCAGGGAAGCCTATCTCAGAAGGTTGGGGCAAATCTTTTTCTGTAAAGGGCCAGGTATATGTTAGGCTTTGTAGACCCACAATTGCTGTTACATATCCTTTTTGTCCCAACCCGTTTCAAATGTAGAACCCATTTTAGCTCGAAGCCTGTAGTTGGTTGGCTCTCTAGGATAATTAATAGAGAACCATTCTAGTCATCAAAAAAGGCTTCACATGGAGACAGAGTTATCAGAATTGGCTAAACTGCCTGGTTGCACTGTCATCGAATCCCACCTACCAAAAGTTGCCTAGTTTTAATGAGATTTTTCCATTAAATTTTACATTTCTGAAAACAGTGAAGAAGCTTCCTAATGTTTTCAGAAAAGGTAGGTATATCTAGAAATGCCTACCTAAAGAGTGTTCTAAAGCAATACATGATAAAGGGGAAAAGAGGAAAATATGCCAGAAAAAAAAAATAGTTTTTAGAAAAGCAACACATAATTTCATTTATGCAACAAATATTTAGAATTTACTGAGCATCTCGATATGCAGGCACTGCTCTTGGTAATGCAATTTTAGAGCTCAAAGGGACCTTAGAAATTATCTGGTCTAGTCTCCTTATTTCATGGAAAAAGGATTCTGAGGCCCCCAAATTTAAAATAACTTGGCTATCTCCATTCAAAATTAAATGTAACAGACTTTTCTGTCCCTTAAATTGAGCACTTATGTATGCTACTAAATGTTTGTTGAAAGCTATTATTCTCTACCACTTTTAAATTGTCTATTAAGCCTGGTAAAACAATACATGGTAATTGTTTTTAAAACTTATACACAGCAAAAAAACTTTTCTCTAAGTGGGCTAATTAGCATCAGCCATTAGGTTAAAAAGCCTTACATTCACCTTTAGTTTCTCCTTTTCCCATAAGACGCCCATCTCTCCTGTCCACACCCCCACTGCTCTCAGATGCTGTCTTTCTGTTCTGTCCTTCCCATTCCATTCTTCTACATGTACCCCCCATTCATGTTTTTTTTTTTCACGTTTTCTTTAAAACCAGGGTCAAGTCATATCACTCCTCCTCTCCCTACCCCCAAGCTTCTGAACATTTTCAAGGTCCAAGGCTTTGCCTGGTCCCTCAGTACCAAACTTACCTTCTTTTACCACAGTCCTATTTACCACTATTCTATTTCCTCTGATGTGCCCTTCAAGTTGTTCCTGGCCCTTTCCTAAATATGCCCCCATATTCCAGCTCTTGCTAAGGCATTCCCCTCCATGCAGAATGCCTTTTCACCCATAACCTCCAGAAATCTCATCCAGCCTTAATGCCATCAGCTACCCCTACCCTGTTTCCATTTTCCCAGCAGTCATCTCCACTCTGTGGCAGGAACCACATCTGACCTTCTATTAGATGATGAGGAGAGATGACTGACTTCTTCCACTGAAAGCAAGCTACCCATTCTGCAAGTACAAGAAGAAACAGTTCTGGTTACATTAAAACACCAAATTTATTGCATAATATTGAACTATATGCACACACATAGAAAATAAACATTTCGTATAACTGTTTATCTTTTTTTAAATCTTGTATTATAAAGACTGAAAAACTACCAATTGGAATAAGTTTTAAAAACAAAAAGAAAAAGCAAAAATCTACAGTCCTTCATTGAGATTTGATGCTGTCTCATGGTTCATAAATACTTCATTTTTATATAAATAAGTCTTTTCTCTAGTGACTAGGAATTTAAAGTTAGGCTGAAATGGATTCTTTGCTCATATAGAATTTTCTTATCTCATGAAGAAGGTTCAGCATATTGTGATTTTTTAAATACGTATATTTGCTTCAAACACAATCCCTAAAATCCCATTGTAAACAAACATTTCAAATGCATTAAACAAAAGTCCCATAATAAAGAATATCCTTAAGTCTTAGCAATTAGGGAAGAGGGGGGGAAAAAATCTGAATAGAAATATTTGCAATTTAAATATAAATAAAAACTAAAATAGACTGCATGCATCTACTAGAAGGAAAGGAAGGGAGCATTAAGTTAGGTAACAGAAAGTGATGAAAAGTAGCAGGTGGGGAGGAAAGACAAAGTGGTAGAGATGGAAAGTGATAGTTATAGAAAGAGGCAAGAAATTTATTTTTTCTACTTTTCTAAGAGAAAATATTTCTTAAAAAATTAATGCGACTTGCTCCAAAAGCAAAATGATAGAAGAGGGTGGGGACCTGTTACCTCATCTTTTTGTCAGAAGGGCTTGGCAGAGCAACCAGACAAAATTCGGCTCAGCTGCAAAGCTAAGCAGCTTTGCACAGCTTTGAGGAGGGCCGGGAACAGGCAGAGCCACAGGAAGACAGCTAGGCCCTCGAGAACTTTAAAAAAACAAAACAAAACAAGAAGGCATGTTTGTTAAAGGCTCCCTTAAATTCTCAAGAGTTCTGCCAAAGGCATGGACCCACACTCAGCTTGTTGGGCTTGGGAATTTCTGAAGTAGTCCTTTCCTCCTTAGTCCTGAGGGTTGGGCTGCAACAAGCCAGGAGCATTTCCAAGGCTGCAGAGAAAGATGTTCTACATGTGCAGGAGAGAAAGGATGGGTCAGTCAAATCATTCTTGCAGAGGAATGAGAAGTCGGAAGGACAAGAAAGTGTTAGGAGGAAAGATCAGGGCTGAGAGAGAGATTTGGGAAATAGTTTAAAAATCTACCTCCCTTTATCCAGTAGAGTGCAACATAGTCACAAGTGCAAGGAACACTGGGGAGTTTGGTTCAGGTTCAGGATTCAAAAGTTCCAACCTGCTATATAGTAAAAAAAAATAGAACTCACTCCCTATGATTTTCTGTATGGGCCTCACTGTGGCTGTTGAGGAAGGAAAGGAAATCTGGGGCAAGCTGGGGTGCTCAGGCCAAACTGAACCCCTCGTAGTTGTCGAGGGCCTGAGTCAGCCGCGCCCGCAGGACCTCTTTGCTGCTGTACTTAGGGAGGTCAAGAAGGTTGTAGCAAGTGTGGGCCACGGGCAGGTACTCCTCTCCGCTGCCTGTGGACTGGATGACGATCTGCAGGCTGGCCATGCCATAGATGGGAATGCGATCACTGCCCGTCAGGAACACTGCGGAGAAAGAAAAGGGGAGTTACCAGCTACGCAAATGTGCGCTCAGTGGCCCTGGGACGTACCAAAGGGAAGGAGTGACACCCTGTGGCTCGTGTGTGAAGTGCAACCACTTTTATGTGCGATTTATATTAATATTAAATCTGCTCACTCTTACAGAGCAGGAGATTGACTTTCCAATTCTGTTCTTTGGGTTTCATATGGACTTAGAAGTCTATACTTTTCATTGACTAATTTCAGACCCTAATTATATGCTGACACAAAGAATGCACCCAGTGAAAAAATGCTCAAAAATGCCCTCACATAAAAAATGACCTCGGACCTAGTCTGTCAGACAGAGTGAAGTATGTCAGAAAGAGAAACAAATATCGTATATTAACGCAGATATGTGGTATCTAGAAAAATGGTAGAGACGAACTTAATTCCAAGGTAGGGCTAGAGATGCAGAGAAGGGACAGGTGGATATGGGGGTAAGGGTGGGGGAAGGTGGGAGAACTGGGAGATTAGGATTCACACATTTACCTTGTGTAAAGCAGACAGCTAGTGGGAGCCTGCCTAGGGCACAGGGCTCTCAGCTCAATGCTCTGCGACGACACAAAGGGGAGGGGGAAGGGTGGGAGGGGCAGAGGGAGGGGCTGCATGTATACATACACAGCTGGTTCACTTTGCTGTACAGAAGCCAATATGCCCTTGTAAAGCGATTATATTCCAGTAAAAAGGTTTTAAACATCACCCTTCCCTTAAAATGGCCTCCATCAAATGTGTGTTCTCATAAATGTTATGAGCCTTCACAAAATCAAAGAGGAAGGGGATTGCTGCCAGAGGAAAAGAGCTGACCTCAGGGAAACCAGGAAGAAGATGATAGTCTATGTGGCCTCAGGGTCTCCTCTCCCATCTGCTTCTACCCCCTTTGCTGGTGAATTTCCATTTGGGATCTGTTTGCTTGCCTTTCCCTTAAACCGGGAGATCTGACACCGGCAGTATATGAGGTATTTCACTCTTGCAACAACACTGTAACTTAGGAAAAAGAGATCAACCCTTCTGCCTTTTCCAGTTTTCCAGCAACCAGATAACCTTCTTTGTTGAACTGCTAGAAAATCTACAATGATATCATTAGTTAAGGAGCACTTTCAAATAACCTGCCACTACCTGAGGCTGTGATATATATAAACATTCTTGCCAAATCTATAGAGTCTAATAAAGACTATAATAAATATAGTCTAATAAAGTTATTATTATTAGACTATAGAGTCTAATAATAGATTTATGAAAGTCTAAAGGTCTCTGAACAGAAAAATGTCTTATTTAAAGGAAACCCCCAGACCAAGATCAGGCTCTTCTTGATTGTCATAGCTCTTGTCACAGCTCTACAAGCTCCACTGGCAACCTTATCCTGTCACTTGACTCACATGCCACTGTTTCTCAAGAGCCCATGTAACTGGGCAGAGGGGAAGCAGGGATTTTTTTTAAGGAATTCTTCTCTAAGATCTCTACTTCCTCTCATCTTTACTCCCTGTGAGCAGCAGAATCTGGGGGTAAATCTTGCATTAATACTAATATATGCTTATTCTTATAAAGCAAAAGAGACTGCCTTTCAAATTCTATTTTTAAATTTTATACTATTCACTGGCTAACTTATGACCCTGATTACAGAATGACACAAAGATTTCTACTATTTTTAAGAGGCTCAATTTCATTTTCCTTTCTGAATGTATTACCATTCTCAAATGTCATCCAGCCAGTCACAAAGGACCACTTATTGTATGATTTCATTTATATGAAATGTCCAGCACAGGGGAATCCATAGAGACAGCAGATTAGTAAGGGGTGGGAAGCTCGGAGAAAATTAGGAATGATTGCTAACGGGTACACTGTTTCTTCTCGGGGTGATACACATGTTCTAAAACTAATTGATAGTTTCACAACTGTGAGTATACTAAAAACCACTGAATCATATACTTTAACTTATTTAGTATGTGTGTGTGAATTAAATCTCAATAAAGCTATTATAAATCACATCTGCCCAGTTACACTGAGAGTGGACACTTTAATATTTTTAAAAGGCTAGAGAGAGAAGGGAGGTTAATCCAACCAATTTGATTTCATCGATGTAATACTTCAAGGAATCACATATAAAATACCTAGTATTTCTAGAGCAATTAAAAAAAAATCAGTGAAATGCTTTTCTTCCTTTCATTCAACCCATCCTATTAAGCAACAAATAAAGATTAACAACCTCTACTGTGCCTGAGACATCACTAAGACAAAAAGTATAAATATATTTCCTTACTTAGCCTTTCCCCAAAAAAGGAAATGGCAAGCCACTCCAGTATTCTTGCCTGGAAAATCCCATGGACAGAGGAGCCTGGTAGGCTATACAGTTCATGGGGTCACAAAGAGTCGGACACAACTGAATGAGTGAGCACGCTTACCCTTTACCATTTAAAAGAGTTGAACTTCACCCATGTAGTATATACCATCCTATACCAAACAGAAAAACAAAATGTGGACAAATACCATATGGACATTATTGATACTTACACAGAAACTTCTTCTTCTTTTCCAAGGGGAACTCATGAAATGTTTCCCAGAATAGTTTCACGGTGGGATGTGTGGCTGAGTAATCACCCTTGTAGATGGCAGTCTGCCCAAAAGACAAAAAGAAAAAAAAATTATCTTCCAGAAGCAGAATATTACAAGTGGACATCTGTATACCATTTGCACTGGAGAGTAAGAAATAAACACTGAGATGAAGGAGACCCCCAAATCCTACTTAATCACAGATCACCCAGAAAGAGACCAAGGTCTGGGTATTCCTGCCCAGGCCACTGCTACTCACTCAGAAGTAAAAGACTGCATCTTTTAGGCTTACCTCTTCCAGTTCCTCCCAGTTGTAGCTGCTGTTCCCCACCATCATGGCCCTCAGTTCTGAAGGCTGGAAGAGCTCTAGCACTTTGCCACCACACACCTTTAGGAAGCCGCTGGAGAAAGCTGTATACCACTCATGAACTGAGATTTGGAAGACATAATTCACATAAGCGTCCACAAATTCCTGCCTGCCAGGAGACCAAAGAAATAGAATACATTTAGCCCAAAGATCTGTGAAATTTATCAAGTTCCCCTTCTACACCGAGGTTGAGACAGATGAAAAATCCTCACCAAATTCTCTCAGCAGGAGGCATTCTACAGCACCCAGGAGGTTACCACCCAGCCCTAGGATTCCAACAATGACTCAGGTGATCTGGGGGTAGGGGAGACAGGAAGGAAGGGGAGGGTGGCAGGTAGGTGGGACCATAATATTGACTTTATTTTTCCTGAGGTGCTCCAGTTCTCATCTTGTTTATGGTCCTACATAATGTAGTTCAGAAAAGACTTTTTCTGCTTAAAAGTCTAAGATAATGGTTCTAGAATACTTTCTTTCTTTTCAGAAATTAACAAAGCTAAACCCACCTACATTTGTATCCTCCCCTACTTTACAGGTAATTTCCTAAAGCCTCACTCTAAATCCCTTAATCACCTCTGGAAAGAACTGTCTTATACAATGGCTCTATCTCACTAACAATCATTCAAATGCTAATTAAGACAATGCTGTGCTGTGCTTAGTCACTCAGTCCTGTCCAACTCTTTGGGACTGTAACCCTCCAGGCTCCTCTGTCCGTGGGGGTTCTCCCGGCAAAGAATACTGGAGTGGTTTACCATGCCTTTCCCCAGGGTATCTTCCCAACCCAGGTTTCTCGCATTACAGGAGGATTCTTTACCATCTGAGCCACCAAGGAAGCCAGATTAAGACAACAGCTTCTTGCAAGCCTGACTCACAGCAGGCTGGCTTCCTGGGCTGCTTATTATAGGTGAGGAGTTAGTTTTCTGGGCAGGCTTCTGTAGGTTGCAGGTCAGAGTTCTGGTTCAGTTTGGTTTTTTTTGGCTGTTTGTGATTTTTTTTAGCCATTAAAAAAAAAAACTGAAATACAGTTAATTTTGAATGTTGTGTTAGTTTCAGGTGTACATAAAGATGTTACAGAAAAACTCAAACTTTTGGCCAATCCAATATATAGTAGTGTGTATGTTAATCCCAAACTCCTAATTTATCTTTCCCCCACCATCCCCTTTGGTAACCATAAGTTCGTTTTCTATGCCTATGAGTCTATTTCCTTTTTATAAATAAGTTCATTTATATAATTTTTTTAGACTTCACATATAAGTGATATCATATGATATTTGTCTTTCTCTGTCAGAGTTCTCATATTTTTATATATGGTCTGGCCATTGTCTGTATGGATATTCCACCTCTGACTAGTGAGGATGTGAACTGTGAACTGAGGCACCTGGGAGAAAAAGTTGCCAATATCTAGAAAAGTTGAAAATGTTAACACCCTTTAACCCAGCTACCCTACTACCAGGTGGTATCCCAAAGGGACTCTTCACATGACTGCACAAGAAGACACATACAGGGGTGTTCATTGCAACATTTTCTTGTAATACAGAGAATTCGGAGAAACAAAATTAAATATCCAGTATGGACAAAGAAAAAACAAGTCACATGATGGAAACCGTAAAGCATAATAGCACTCTAATGGAATTGTGCAAGCATGCTAAGTCACTTCAGTCATGTCCAGCTCTTTGCAACCCCATGGACTGTAGCCCATCAGGTTCCTCTGTCCACAGGATTTCTCCAGGCAACAATACTGGAGTGGGTTGCCATACCCTTCTCCAGGGGATCTTCCCAAGCCGAGTCTCTTACATCTCCTGCATTCGCAGGCGGGTTCTTTACCATTAGCGCCATCTGGGAAGCCAGGTTAACAGAATCAATTAAATCTATAATTATCCAAAGGAATAGAATCTCGAGAACAATGCTGAGTGAAAACCAAGTTTCTGAATGTTAACTACAATATAATAGCACTTAGCACTTGCAAGTTGTTTTTTAACACTTAAAACATTTCTATCTATAGAGCCAGACAGTGGCTTTGCCAATTACGGCTGATGATCCTTGGGCAAGTTATTTAATCTCTCCGTGCCTCATTCTTTTCATCAATAAAATGGGGAGAATAAGAGAACATAACTAATCAGACTATTATAAAAATTAAATGAGTTAATAAAGTTTTTAGAACTGGGGCTGCTTTGTAAATGTTAGTGATTATTATATTGTTTATGGCTAGGAGATTTTGTTTAGGTGTATGAAATTATATATAATGTACATGTAAAATGTGTTTAATAAAAGCATTAATGTAAAAAGATTTTTGTCTTAAAACACATATAAAAATATAAAAACAAAAAAATATATAAGAGTTTTGTCTATGTGGAAAAGGAGGGTGAGAAGAGAGGAATGGGATTAAGAGGATGTCAATGGTCTCAGGAATCTTTTTTTAAAAAAATCTGAAGTATATACTATCTGTGTTTACTGTGGATCACAGATACAAAGATGTCTGTCACATTAGTTTTGTGCTTTTATTTATGTCTTTTTCTAAAAATTAAAAAAACTGACACTATGAAGATAGATACTTGCCACGTCTCCTCTGTGATACTACACTTCACAGAACTACAATGTGAACATCTTGTGTTTCCTCCAGGCATATCCAGTCACCAAAAACTAAACAACCTACACCAATAACTGTTGTGTGAGCCCTAACAGTTGATTTTTTTTCCCATTTTGGAATGCAAGTGCTTTTACTGTGAAAGCATCAACTTCAAAGATAGCTATGGAGAATAAACACATTGCCAGCCACACAACCAAAAAACATGAACAGCCAGGCTGCATACCCCACTGAAGTTCTTTGGTTCAAACATTTTGGTTGATTTTGATAACTGACCGTTTGGGCCACTCGCTTTTTTCTCCTCCCACACATTAAGTTCCTCCTCTTATGTTTTAAATTTATAAATAAAGAATAAGCCCAGAAGGGACTTCCACGATGGTCTGATGGCTTGAACTGTTCACTCCCACTGCAGGAGACGTGGGTTCAACCCCTGGTCAGGGAACTAGATCCCACATGTTGCAACTAAGAGTTTGCATGCTGCAACTAAAGGTCCCATGTGCCACAACTAACACACAGCACAGCAAAATACATATTTTTAAAAATAAGTTTTTAGAAGTATGAGCCCATGAAACCCTAGGCCCTCACTGTCAACCTCAATGAAAGTAGAACCCCAGACTCTCACTCACACTCACTTTCTCTGCACCAGCCCCAACCCAACCTTATTATGTGGCCCCGGTAGGCTAAGCAATTTCCAGGTCTTGAAGTAATAAACTTTTTTTTCCCCAAAGTGTCCTGATAATTATTTCTGAAGGGCATTTTGCAGTCATAATCATAACCACAAGGGCTGGTTCAGTCACAACATTGGTTAGTGATAGGCCGAGACCAGCACAAAACACTTACAATAGGTGGTATAATACAGTGGATGGTGGAGTAGACAGGGGTACAAATCTAGGGTCTGCCATGTCCTTTATCTAGTTACTAAGCTGTTCTTCTCTCATCTTTAAAATGGGGTAAATGTTCAGTTTTTAAAATAAAAGCCACTAATGTAAAAATACTGTACATCTTAACTACAGATGCTGAAAGTTCTCACAATGCAGACAATGTACTGCTTTCCTGACAAAGATAAAGCCTGTAAAACAAAGAATGTTGCCTGCCTTCCAGTTCTACAAGTATCAAGTCATAAGCCAATGCAGTCACTGAAAGGAATGAAAGAAAGTGAGTGAAAGTTGCTCAGTCATGTCCGACTCTTTGCGACCACATGGACTATACAGTCCATGAAATTCTCTAGGCCAGAATACTGGAATGGGTAGCCCCTATAATACAGGATAAAAAAACAAGATTAAATGTTCTGTTTTTTGGTCCCAAGATAGTTATGATACATGTCAGGAAGAATTTCAGTGACACCAGATTCTTGATTCTTCCTATACATAAATAAGCACTAAAATCACTTACTCGAGATACTTGATTCTTTTGCGTGTGATTAGAACTCTTTCACCAAGATGTATGTTTGACTCTATGTATGTCCCAGTCAAAAAAAAGAAAATTACATATATTGGCTCTTTCTCTACCTCTTAGGAGCTATCTAAGAAGCAGTCTCACAGGCTATAGTACTAAGTCAGGCCCCTGAGGGCCTTATAGTCAAAGCTATGGTTTTTCCAGTAGTCATGTATAGATGTGAGTGTACCATAAAGGTTGAGCATAAAACGCTGAGTGGACCATAAAGAAGAACTGATGCTTTCAAATGTGGTTCTAGCAAAGACTCTTAAAGAGTCCCCTGAACAGCAAGGAGATCAAACCAGCCAATCCTAAAGGAAATAAACCTGGACTATTCATTGGAAGAACTATTGCTAAAGCTGAAGCTCCAATATTTTGGCCACCTGATGCAAAGAGCCTACTCATTGGAAAAGACCCTGATGCTGGAAAAGATTGTAAGCAAAAGGAGAAGGGGGTGGCAGAGGATAATAAGATGGTTAGATAGTATCACCAACTCAATGGACATGAATTTGAGCAATTCTGGGAGATAGTGGAGGACAGAGGAGCCTGGGGTGCTGCAGTCCACTGGGTTGCAAAGAGCTGGACCCAGTTTAGCCACTGAACAGCAAGAACAAAGGCCCCTGAATAAATTCAAAAATCATCTCTCTCATATTGTGCATTTTTTATTTCAGTCAGCAGTTGCAGAAACCATGAATGGACCCAGTGCAGACTTTTCTCCTACATCTGAACCCTCCAAGGCACTAGTAAGGGCCCTTGTGCCTGTCCACCTTCCTGGTGAGTCTAGACAAATTGGCTGAGTGTCTCTTGTCTTGGTTGACAATCTTGAGTTTTATTCAGTAGTAAGTAAGAAAGGTAACCGATTTTTCATTTTTAAGATATTGAGAAAGTGCCCAGTGGTGATTAGGTAGGAGGTTGATCTGATGTCTTTCCTCAAATCATCTTTGATTTCCTGTCATGTCTTTCCTCAAGACATCATCTGATGTCTTTTCTGTTCTATCTTAACAGGATTTCTTGGATAAAAGTGAAGACACCATATGAGCCTTCAGCTCCAAAGGTAAGGGACACAGCTCTTCCTGGCCAGTTACAACTTTCTC